ATATGACAAAGTTCCATTACAACACCTTCATTGTAAATTGGGTTCCGACATAATTGAAACTTTCTCTTTCTCTGTTTTCTTTCTTTTTTTTTTTTAGTTTTAATCAGTATTTCATTTTGTTAACAGTATCCTTATAAATCTAATCTTTATTTGTCTTTGGGAGCTAGAAACATCTGTGAGTGAAAATCCAAGAATGGCGGTATCAGCAAATTACAGGGCACAGCAACATTGGTTGTACGACTTTCTAAGGATAAGAAGGACAAGAACAACAATCGTTGATCTTGTGTGTCGTAAAAATGCATCATAAGGAGGACACGGCCTGTAATACCAAACCTTTCAAAAGATACCAATTTTCACTATTACTAGTGATGTGGCAGAATTCTTATTACTTTAAGCTCTCATTACTTCTTGGTATGCATTGTTTGTGTGGATTTAATTTTAATATCCCCAATCATTAATGAGCTTTAAAATGTTCATTGGTCTTTTTAAAAAAATTCTTCTGGGAAGGACCTCTTTAAGTATCACATCTCACCATTTCTTCGCTGAGTGGTCTGTTGTTAGTTTTCTTAGAAATGTGTTGGCGTTGCCATCTAATTTGTACCTGAGTGCTTTACGGTTACATGTCTTACAAACACGTCTTTCCATTCTGCGCCCTGTGCTTTCGTCTTTCTCATGAAATCCTTTAATGAACATTTATTTTTAATTTAAACTTAGTCAAATTGATTCATATTTTTCATTATGACTAGAAATTTTGTCCTATTTTTGACTTTGCATGAAAATATTCTCCCATGCAAACTTATGAAATGTTTCATTTTTCATGGTTGTATAGTTAATTCACCTGATTATAATTTTTATATACTGTATGAATAGGATCAATAATCTTTTCTTTTCCCTTTTGAGAAAAATCCAGTGATCTTAGTACTGTTTCTTTGAAAAATATATTCGTTTCTCATTTGTATAAATCATGTCTTCGTCTATGCTTGGATTTATCTTTTCTGACTAGTTCCATTGGTCCATTTGTCAATTCTTTCACTAATATTACACTGTCTCAAATTACTTTAGCTTTGGTACAAGTTATAGTACACTGTAGTTAATAAATTTGATAAAGATGACCACATCAGATTCAAAAAATGTAGGATGACTACCTCGTGACAAAACTACCCTACCATTGAAAACCATGGCCCAGAAAAACTGACCCATAATCTTAGCCATCACCTAACACCTTTGCATTAATACACAAAACACTAGATTTTTTACTATTGTAAATGTGAAATGTCTGATAACTACGTAGTTGCTAAGTAAGGAATAGGCATAGTAGCCTTCATTTTATCAACATCGTTAAACTGAATGCATCTGTAGAATTGTTGAAACTGTATGAACAGAATCATATCCACGAGTAAAAGGGTTTAGTTCTTCCTTTCAAGCCTAATGCGTTGTAGTTCTTTTGCCTGTCTCTCTTGACTGGCAAGGTCCTCCCGCACTATGTTGAATAGAAGTGGGCAAGTTTGTCTTGCTCCTGATCTCAAAGGTAAAGTCTTCACAGTGCCCAAGAAAGCAGATTGCTGTAAATTTCTCATCGTTACCCCTTACAGATTCAGGGAATTCTCCTTTGTTTTTAGGTTGAATATATATATATAAAAAATTTTATCATGTGATACATCTGTATCTTTTGAAATCATCTTTTATCCTATTAGTGTAGTAAATTATACTGATCATTTTTAATGTTATTGCACCTTTAAATTCTGTAACAAATAGTAGTTGGCTCTGAGATATTTATTATCCTACTTAATAGTGCTGGGTTCATTTTGCTGACATTTTGTTTAGGGTTTTTGCATCTGTGTTCAGGAGTGAGATTGAACTATCGTGTTCTTTTGCCATTATACCCCGCCCTGTTCACGGTTTGGTAAATAGTGATGGTGCCTCATAAAACAAGTTGCATAGTATTTCTTCCTTTCGTTCTCTTTATTGGTTTGAATATAATTGTTAGGATTGTCTAGAAAAGTCATATGGAACTTGAGTGTTCATTGTTTGGGGGCTTTTAATTATTGGTTCAACTTATTTAATTGTTATGACTATTTAAACTTTCCATATCTCCCTTTCACTGTTTTTTATTGGAATTTCTGAATCCAAATCATGAAGTTTGTGAACATGAAATTGCACATAGTACTATTTTCTTATAGACAGTTTAACAGTTGTATGATCTATAATGTTTCCCTTGTTGTTCTTGACGTTAATTATTTGTGCTTTTTCTTTTATGTTCTTGAATAGTCTGACAGTTGTTGACCAGTTTTTTTAGTCTTTCTGAAAAAAAATTTTTTGGCTGTATTGATTCCTCATTCTGTGTTTGTATTATTGCATCAATTTTGGTTCTTTTCTATATTCTTTGGGTTATTTTGTCATTCTCTTCTCAAGATTTAAATTTTTTAAATTTAATTTTTGCTTTTGTTCCTTATTTTATTCATTTAAGCCTAAAAGTATCCTTATCTTATTAGCATACCTGTAATTTATTGGGTTTTACTTAAAATAGTTTTGTTATCATTACCCTCCAATTTTTATTATGACCATTATGATTTCTTCTTTAATTCATGGGCTATTGGTTTTCTATGACTGCCAGGTTAAGGACTACTCTTCCCGTGTACGGAATGTCATATATTCTTTAAAGCATAAGATACAGCCTCTAGATCTTTGGCCAAGGTAAAACATGCTCCATAGAACTCACTGAAATAAGCTCTACATTTTTCTCCTTTAAGTGTACAGGTAAATTACATACATAACCAAAGACATATCCCTGGTGATGTTAGGCATTGGATTGCTCACCACAAGGCCAGCCGTTCTAAACCACCAGCAGTTTTGTGGGAGAAAAACGAGGGTTTCTACTCCCATATAGAGTTACAGTCTCGGAACCCATAGGGATAGTTCTAATCTATCTTATGGGATTATAATGAGTCGGTATTGACTCAATGGTAGTGAATTTGGGTTTTCATTTTAAATTTTATAAATTAAAATGTTAGATATATTAATGAATATTAAATTAAGAAATGTCTGTAGATAAAGCAACATTTTATAAGTTCTTCTACTTATTTATTATTGGAAGAAGGTATGGCATATTGTCCAGATTGAATGTTGGCCATTTTAAATGAAAGCAACCTAACCACCAGCTGCTCCACGGGAGAAAGCAAAGCTTTTTCCTTTGTCGAGGTTACAGTCTTCTCAGAAACCCACAGGGAGTTCTGCTCTGCCAATAGGATCGCTGTGAGTTAGAAACAGCAGTGAGTTTGTTTGTTTGAATACCTGGGCTTCAGTGCAATATGTTTCTTTACCTCTCTCCACCTTGTTTTTCCATGCTTCCCTTGTTTTAACATGCATAATTCCACTAGTGCACTTTCTGGGCTAAAATTTTTCTGACATATACTTTTATGCATTTTGCTACTTAAAAACAGTATTATTTTTTCATGCTTTCTGAAGACCAGCCATTTTAACTGACCATCATTTATAAAATGGGACTTGACAAATATCACTGCTTACACATTTGCTCAAGGCGGACGGGAACAGCAGAATGAAAAGGAAGGCAGCCTGTCCTCAACTATAATTGATTTAAGGAAACATGTCTAAATCTCTTCACGCAGAAGGAACAGTTCACCTTGGCACATTTCTAGATGTGCTTACTTGGCTGAGGAGACTTGGTGGCACAGGGATTAAAGCACTTGGCTGTGAGCCACAAAGGTCAGTTGAGATCCACCAGCTGCTATATGGAAGAAAGGTGTGGAAGTTCGCTTCTACTCTTTCCGCTAGGCTCACTATGATTGAGAATCACCTCAATGATCGTGGCCAAGCAAGGATTTTGGTATTTTGTTCACTTCTCAGGCTGTCACTAGAGAGAGGATTTGTTCAAATAGTTTATGCTTTATTACCAAAAGTCAAAGCTCTAACTTTGAGCTTAAAAAAAATTTCTTTAGTCCCGGAATCCCTTGGGAAATGAGTTCATGTGGAAGCTCAAAGCATGAAAGACAGAAACAGGGAGTGGTTGAAGCTGTAAAGCTACCCACATAAGCCTCATAACAGTAAACTGTTGGTATTGTTCCAAGAATGCTAGTATCCTGGGGTTTTATTCATATATAGATATAGATATTTATAGTTAGCCATCTGGCTTTATACATTAATTTTGTTTGCTTAGTTATTGAACTAACCTCTAAGAAATTGTTTTTCATTTTGTGTGACTACTAAATTTATTTTTAATTTTCCAAAGCATAGATTTTTAGAATTATATTTAGTTATTGTTTTCACAATTACTAGCATTATGGTCAGAAAAAAATGCTGTGCAAGATTTCAATCTGAAATTTGTTTAGAGGTATTTTATTAGCCAACATTTATAAAAGCTCCTACTGTGCTTGGTATATTACTCTGAAGTTATTGGAGTCATTTCAATAGAGGACAATTCGTTAAGTTTGTTAATTGCATGGTTAAAATTTTCTGTATCTTTACTGATACTGTTCTGAAGCATATACATTAAAATGTATATTTCTTCATTTTCCAGTTTATCCTTGTATTTCTGTCCACTTTTGCTTTATAAACATCTGGAGCATTGCTCCCCTGGGAATCTAAGGTGCTCAGCGACGTCTGACAAGCACTGGACTCCTGCTTACGCCCCTCAGTTGTCAAAAGCGCTTGTCGGTACAAACAAGTGCCCACTAACAAGTGTATGATTGACTCTTAGTTGACTGCTTGGTTTCTGAAAGCCAAACTAAATAAGCAAAATGTATTCCCATGTAAATAATTCCTATTTCTATCACCACTCAATTTGTGGTTCTTGTCCTTGTCCCATTCCTTACACTCCAGATGGTACTAATTAAAGACATTTTATAAATAGTAATATGTGCCAATATTCAGTCTTTAAATTTTCCTCCAGCCGTGTGCGCAAAATGAAACTCTCAATTTCAAACTGCATTGTGGCATTACTTTATATGTAAGGCGCAGAGGGGCTAGGAAATAGAAGCAAATACCTGGAGTTACCCCAATCAGGACCCATGCCTGAGAATGATCCTCTTGTTTCAGTTGCGTATTTGTAAACCACTAGCAGGCACTGTTTACAAAGCTCGACCAGTCGCTGGCAACACTGGAGCTGCAAAGGAGACACCACATCTGGACTTTTGCTGAATATGCTCTCCCAAGAGGATCTGTTGGCATAGAAATAGACATGACCTCATATTTGCTGTTAAAAATGACATCCGACTATATCACTTACCTAGCAACAAACCAATAAGTGAAAGTAGAAATGGCCTCATCCATTTGAAACAACTACAAATGGCTGCAAGGTTCATGCTGAAAGCCAATTAGAGAATTAACCTTTATATTAAAAACTACATATAATTTCTATATTATTTGTCTTTAACGCCTTTAATGCTTCCAACTATGGGTAGCTCACAGGATGGATTCTAAACACCTCCTAAAAATGGAGTTATTCTATATTAAAATATTTTCAAAATACTGACGTAATGCCTCAAAAGTTAGTGTAAAAAATATAGGTTTTCTAGAAAGCTCCATTAACCTTTACATCTTGACCCTGCAAAAGAAGTTTAAAAGTTTCTATAACTTAGTATGTGGCTTCACTGTATCAGAGGAATTCAGGTCAACCACTTAATTTTGACCATCCATTTCAAAAACCTTTCCAACGCAATTATGTCCATAATATCAACAAACGCTGCCCGACTAGAAACCAAAAAGGCAAGGTTCTTCCGTCATAATACTCAGCTTATTCGAAACAGTTAGTAGGTAGGACATTCTCACCCTCCTCTGCCGCTGTGTGTGAGTCTGTCTGTCTCTCTCTCTCTCTCTCTCTGTCTACACACACACACTCACGCGCATGCACACCCACACCCACACACACTTTTTTAACAAAACAAAATTTACAATCATGGACCAAATTGAGGAATAGCTCATCACCCTCACCACCCCCACTGGAAAGACAGACAGACAGACAGACAGACAAAACCCAAAACACCAAGCCCACTGGCATGAGGTTGATTCTGATTCTTAGTGACCCTAGAGGACAGAGTAGAGGTGGCCCTTTGGGTCTCTGAGACTTGACATTTTTACAAGAGTAGACCGCTTCCTCTTTCTCCCTTGCAGTGGCTGATGTAGACCCGAACTGCTAACCTTGTGGTTCACAGCTCAATGTGTAGCCACTGTACCAACAGAGTCCCTTATTCCTAGGGTGAAGGATGCTTTCTTTAATCCTCAAGGGGAAAGTTTGGTTTGGTGATGGGCCAAGTCTCATTTTACATAAATCAATTCACTTAACCCTCAGAGGGAAGAATGGTAGATTTGAGAATGAAAAAAAGATTAAACAAAATATTTGTCTGAAGAAATGTTCATCCCAATGGGACATTCAAAGACTCCATTTCAATTTACTATGGATACTGGATATTTTTGGAACTTTTGTAAATGCTTTAGAAACTCAGAAAAAAATTTAAATCTATTATTTATTCTTTAAAGGGAAAGACAGTTCTAAAAAGGAAGCAAGCCATGAGTGAATGACAGCTTTCTTACAGAGAATCATATCACATGAGTAGACTGAAAGAAATATTCAATGTTACAAGATGTTCAAATCTAAGTATCTACTATTTTCATCATTAAATAAGAGTAAGCAGTTTATCAAGAAATAGCATTATACTGCATAAATTCACTTAAAAATAAAATGCAAACATCATTAAATATAAGGGTATATACATATATAAATACATAGATAAGAAGAGTTAGATAAATAGATAGATGATAGATAGATAGATATACAGACAGACACACGTGAGGAGTTAAAATCTGTAGGAAAATTCATGTCTCTTAATTTTGTTTTATATGATATTTTTGAAGCCCTCTCATGCATAAATAGATAAACTGTATATGTGTATATACATGCACACATACACATACACTTAATTTGATCACACACTAAAAATTGGATGATAATAATTATTTTAATACAGCGGTTCTCAACCTGTGGGTCACAACCCCTTTGAGGGTTCAACAACCCTTTCTCAGGGGTCACCTAAGACCATCTGAAAACACATAAATATTTCACAATATACAATTACATATTGTTTTGTGATTAATCTGTATGCTTTGATTTTATTTAATTATGTTCAATTTGTAACAATGAAAACATATTCTGCATGGCAGACATTTACATTACGATTCATAATAGTAGCAAAATTACAGTTGTGAAGGAGCAATGAAAATGATTTTCGGGTTAGGGGGTCACCACAACATGAGGGACTGGATTAAAGGGTCGCGGCGTTAGGAAGGTTGAGAACCACTGCTATAGTAAGTCTTGTTCTAGCAGGCCCTGGATATCTAGGATAAGAAGAAACAGTCATATACATATAAATACAGAGAAAAGTCTCCTTTGGGATTTTGAATAGATCTATAAGAGTCTACCTTCATCCTATTCCAATTGGATTTACTCACACTTATATTTTGATAAATTGGAACTATTTGATTAGATCCCACTATCACATCACTGACATCTTTCTTGGGAACTCTTTATTTAATTTGTGGAGTAGACATTGGAGATGAACAAATAAAGTTGAAGAAAGACACAAATACCTCCTCCATAACACCCTAGGATGATGTAATTTTCCCAATATTATGTAATCCATTTCAACTTATTTTCACATTCCTTCTAAAAAAATTCTGTATAAATCTATGAATGAAGGTCCTATATATATTTTTGTTGTGTATGCTTGCACTACTGGACAAATATTAAAATTCTACTCTACTAACCCCCATTTAAGCAACAAAATTCCAAAACCTCTACTACAGATAATAAGTAAGACCTGCTTCAGTGGTACCTAACAATGGTGTTCGGCCAGTCTGCACAAAAGAAATTTATCCTTCAAACTGAAGGTACTTATAAGACGGTATCCCCATCTTCAACCTGCCACCTAATATAGCTCAGTAGATATGAATTGCTCCTTTAATACTACATACATCATCCTAAGTTTCCATAATGACCATGTAAAATTGGGAGGAAACCAAGGGAAAGGACATAGACACTTCCATCAAGTCTATCCAAACTGCCCTGGTGAGTTTCTGAGAGTGTAATCCTTTGTGCAAGTAGAAAGTCCCATCTTTCTCTGCAGAGTGGCTTGTAGTTTCAAACCCCTCACCTTGTGATTAGCAGCCCAATGCATAGCCACTGTGCCACCACGGCTCCTGAGGGGACACAGAGCTCAGAATATAAGTTCCTTCATCAAAGAGCCCGTAGTTTTATCTTCTTGCTATCTGAATCTAAACTCTAAGAAAATGAAGGGCTTAAAACCATGAATTTTAAATAATCTTAGAAATATGATGAAGGAATAATTTGAAAGGCATTTTTAGTGATAAAATGATAAGCTAGAGAATAATGAATGCCCATGAAAACAAAAGAGAATTATTATTGAAATCCAGAATGCTGGAAAATCTGATGTTACTCAGTAACCCAATATTTCTCACCTCTTTTCCTAACTAAGCATTTAATTTAGCAGTTATCTAATGGGAAAATCCGATGCATTCCTCTCCCACCTCCAGTGCAGACCTAACGGTGAACGGCCCACAGTCAAACAACAGGAAGGAGGAGGGAAGGGGAAGAAACCTGGACAGCAACCTGACTGGTTCATCAAAAACAGAAAGAACGAAAGCTCAGAGTACGAATGGCAACACGCTCAAACGAAGGTTCTATTAGAAACAGCGTGATGTATATTATTTGAAGTACACCATATGTTTTGCATGCATTTTCAAGTAGAGATCATTCAACCCTAGAAGCAGATTGCTGGCTTATTATTGTCTGATGTGCCTTAAAGATTTTTCTTGTTTTAAGATCCCAAAGGAAAAGCATTTACAAAACACAGTTATGTTGTTCTGTTCTGTTCTTTGTGGTTACATATTTAGGGTTCGAAAGACATGGGAACTGCCCAAACTAGGCATTCCTTCCCCATAGCACCTCCTCCCTCCTTTTCATTTTATCTGGCAACCTTTTCTTCTTCCTTCAAGTCTCAGCTGAAATGTTATTTCCCATAGCTACCTTTCCTAAGCCCTCTATCCTGAGTTCAGGTCCCGTAGCACCTTATATTTCTCTGATCCCAGTGAGACATGGTAGATGATATTACTCATATGCCAATAGCTATTCTCCTGAAAAGAACAGCCAGAATGCGGGACTTGATTGCAATTCCATGGACAGCTTGGGAAAGAGTGCTTTGTGTTTGGTCCATTAGCAAAACTTCTGTGCCAATTCTAGATAAATGAACACAAAAATTGTCATTATCACTTGTAGCTTCTGGAGGTGCATGGGAGTGTCTCTTTGTTTTTGTTACTGGGGATCTTTACAGACACAGGCAGGAATCACCATCTTTTCAGTTTCTTGATGACAGGGTAAGCATCAGGTTCATCTTTGTCTCTCCAAATGTGTCTAATACAGTCGTAAGCACTATAATCGTTGAAAGAATTAGTGGAAAACAACGTGGATTATCTATATTGGAAATGTGACAGAAAAAATGAACAAAATCAAATAATGACAGTGAGGAAGAAGGAGGAAAGAACGATGCAGTTGTCATGAGATATCGAAACGTTCTGACTGGGTGATTAAGGGAACCAGAAACGAAACCCTCCTAAATGAAAAGAAGAATGGAATGTTTGCTCTGACCGCACTGTTAGAAGCCGGCTACCTGAAGGCAACAATAAAAGGACCTTAGAGATAACTAAGCCTCACTGCCACTGCACCAGTTGCAACTCATAGTGACCCTACAGGACAGAGTTGACCTACCCTGGTGGGTTTCTGAGACTAGAACTTTTAACAAGAGTAGAAAGCTTCATCTTTCTTCCATGGAGTTGACTGGTGGTTTCAAACTGCTGACCTGACAGCAATCTAATGCATAGCGTAAACCCTATACCACCAGGACTCTGTTTGTAATTGAGATTTTTCTTTAATTAAGACTGCTTTCTCTCCATGGAATTCAAACTAGTTATGTGGTGTTGTGTTCATGTTCCTCATCTCATCTAAGTTAGCTTAATTGCTATAAATTATAGTTAAGTGCTAAAATTACATACAGTAAAATAACCATGTTTTAAAAGATCATTAAAGAAATTCAACCATTTTATTGGGCTATCTCTATAAGTAAAAAGAAAGTTATTGAAAATTACAATAATACAAGACAAATTAGGACTTACCCTGAATCACAAAAACAGTTCCATAGTCCTTGGCCATGATTCCATAATAATCGATTAAAAACTCGATTGAAAATCCGATATAAATTTAATTCATCAACATCCGGTACACTCCAAATGCGTGGAAGTACTGTACGAAGACTTGTTCTTACTATATCCAAAACCTAAAGGAAAATCAAAGCACTTCAAAATCTAAGTATATGTATCCATATCTGAAATGAAAAATATGTGTATATATATATATATTTCCTTCATTAAAAGTCCAATAGCTATTCTCCTGAAGAGAACACAGTCAGACTGTGGACCTTTGTTACAATTTCAGGAGCAGCTTAGGAAAGAGTGTGTTCTGTTTAGTACAGTTATAAAACCCATGTGATAAATCTAGAAAAAGGTACCACAAAGATCTTGATTAATATTTGACACTTCTGGAGGTACATGGAGGTCTATTATACATGCAGAGACATGCATATAAAGAAAGACAGCAAAGGGCTGATAAACCCTGGATTCCGGATAAGGGCTATGTGGGACGAGGAAGAGGAACGCAGTCATTGCTAGCTTTAGTCTCAGGTGTCAGGTTCACATCTGAAGAATACTGACTAAATAAAAGCAGATCATACATGGACCAATCAATGAGTGATATCATGATTAACCCAGTATAGACCTCAGTTCACTCAGATGTATTTTTCATTTCTTGTTATTACTTCATTAAGGGAATTTACCTACAAATATGAGAATAAAAGAGAAAAGGACATTCGAATATAAGGGGTAAGGCTCCTGCTAAGACAGACAGACGCATTGAGCCTACTCACTACAACTAACACGTCACAAAGAGTGCCTGCAAGAGAAAGAAGTCCATAGCCCGGGATCTCTCAGGAAAGAGTGGCCACGTGAGCTGAACACAGACGGGGCAAGTGGCGGGCAGAGTCTACATATGGATATTGAACAGTGGAACAAGTTTTCTGCCAGACGTGGCACATTTAACTGCTCTGCTAGCTGCCCTTGACAAACAGAAGAATAGAAAATTCTCCACTGGCAAATCATGAGCCAATCAGCTGCTCCCACAAAGCAGAGCATTCTCCAGCCCCAAAAGGTGAGAGGGTGGACGCCCTACGGCAGTCCCACACTATCTGGGTAAACAGAGAGGTGAACAGAACACAACTGTGCACCTTAACAGCAGCTGGTCATACCCCCTCACCCCACCCCCTTTACCACCATCCCCCCTACTTAGGGCTGGGAGTGTGAGGGACCAAGTGGGAATGCCAAATAGCACACAAGGCTGAGGAAAGGAAGACTGAATCATCCTGGGTCCCCCTTGGCTCCCAGATGTCTGAAGGAGATTTTGGCCCTCACATTCAGGCATGCCAAGGCTATTCAAATTGATATCACCCACCAAGCACCAGCGATCAGTTTCAGCAACGTTCCTCAGCACCTGGAGTAACCTGAGGCTAAAGCAGTTGTGAGAGCTGGTTGGAACATTTTGTGTTGCTTTAGTCTTCTCCTTCTTCGTCTTCCTTTTTTTTTATTATTAGCTACTTCCTGTATAGCCTGAATAGGAGTGGGCCCATCCCTAACACCCCACACTTCTGATTCCACAGAAGTCAGCCAAGGGACAGGGGTCTTAGGGGACAAAAAAAAGTAGCAGTAGGACTTGAGCTTTAGGTTTTGTTGTTGTTTTCTTCCCTTGTGATTCTCTTCTTTGACATTTTGATATACCATCAGGGGGGTAATGATCCTTAAATGCCCGTTACCCACTGCTGATAGAAAGTGGCCACCCCCAAACTGTGCTCGTACTCCTACTGTGCTTACTCCGGGCAGGCCCTGCATAACTGAGAAAGAAAGCAGCTGCTGATTCTGGCTTGGTTGTTTGTGTGTGTATTCTTTTGTTTGGTTGTTGACTTAATTTCTGTGTGTGTGTGTGTGTGTGTGTTCTTGTTTGTGTCTGCTTCTTCTTCTGTTTTGGTTTTCTTATCCCTTTCTCACTCTACCTGGTGGAGTCAACAAAAACACCACAATGTTTTGGAGACTACAGGCACTCGCATTAGACATGAAGAAGCAAGACAGACTAGCATGAATAAGTGATGAAGATACAGAGTCAAAAGGTTTTCCTGAAGAAGAAAAAGCATTGGAGCTACCAGAATTTCAAAGAGACTTGGGTATTCTCAACCAATGGAGAAAAAGATTAAGAGAGCTACAAAAGAGAGAGAGAGAGAGAAGTCTTTAGAAGAATTCAGGAAAATATAAGAACAATATTGTTAGGTAGGCTAGCATAGGGCTGGGATGTCCACATGCCCAGAGGGCCAAGCTGTGGAAACAAAGGAGTGGCACACTGCACATGCTCAGAGGTTCAGGTTTCCCGCTGGGTGGGCATGGGAGGGCGCTGCACCTGGATTGGCCCACCTAGGCCAGGTGAATTCAATTCAGCCAATGGGGTCGTCCACCATGCCTCCCTGAGAAATCATTGAAAAGGCAGGAGCCCGGAGTCGACTGGCAGAACTTTGGCAGAACTTTGGGAGACTGTGAGATTCTGTGAGCAGTTTCCAAACAAGCTGTACACTCGGGAGGAGCTCCTCGGGTGCCGTGTAAACCTGAAACTTCTTCTAACTCTCATAAAACTCACTTGGATCACTAACCAGGCTTCGGTGTGAATATTTTCTCCTGTGGAGCCAAAGACGGAGGTATATATAGCTCCAGAGAGATCTAACAATATGACGAGAAAAATTAGAAATCATACAATAGCAACAAATAAAAATTCAGGAGATGAACACTAAGGAATTAAAAATAAGAAGGAACAAAGCAATAGAAAACTAAATCAATGAGCTTTAAGAAAATAGCAATCTATCCCCCAAAAAAACTGTAAACAAAGCTGAAGAAAGTCAAAAGATTATGTGGGATATGATAAAGAGCAATAGCATACACCTGATATGACTTCCAGAACAGGGAGGAAACAGAGAGAAAGGGAGAGAACGTCCCTAATATCATGGAAAAGGTGAAAATGACCATTTAAGAAGTGGAAAGAATCCCAAACAGGCTAACCTCCCAAAGAAAATCACCATGACCGACCGTCATCAAGCTGTGCAATACCGAAGACAAAGAAGGACAAGACGAAAGTTACGAACACAGGAAAACCAGCAGGAACAAACTGGATTTCTCAACAGAAATTATGCAGACAAGAAGACAATTAGACGACACAGATCAAATGGTGAAAGAAGAAGAAGAAAGCCAGTAAGCAAATGATCCCTCAAGGATGAGGGAAAACAAGGGCATTTCTAGGTGAGGAGAAAAAACGAGGAATTTGTGAAAACAAGACCAACCTTACAAAAACTTCTAAGGGGAGCTCTTTGCACAAAGAATTGACAATAGCAGACATTATCCTGAGACCAACATACAAGACAACAACCATGAAATAGTGCTTTTGAGTAAAGCTATTCAAAATCAAACAAGCTTACCAACTGAAAATAGGGAGCCAGAGATCCCTAACCCTGCACAATGAAGACAATCACCAAGTACACTGAAGGAATAGTGTAGATGCAAAGCATTCCAACAGAGAGGAGGCGGAGTCATTTTTAAGAGGGAGGGAGGGGGGAGGGGGGAGGGAGGGGAAAATGAGGACCTGATGCCAGGGGCTTAAGTGGAGAGCAAATGTTTTGAGAATGATGAGGGCAATGAATGTAAAAATGTGCTTTACACAATTGATGTATGTATGGATTGTTATAAGAGTTGTATGAGCCCCTAATAAAATGATTTTAAAAGTAGAGTGAACAAATTATTTTAAACTTGGAAAGAAAATAATAAAAGAACAAGACAATGGCCACACAAAAAAAAACCCTCATCAAAATATACAAGACCTAATACACAGTAAAATAATAGCAAAGAAAAAAATAACAAGAAAACTGAAGTGTGTGAGGTTTCTGGGAGGCCAGCACCTTTGGACCTTGGATTATGTATACAATGTTTGAGTTGGTTGTTTGCAGGGAATTACAGTTAGGCCTGTTGTATATAATAAGCCTTCTGCAGCTGTTGCAGTGTGCTCCACAGTGTCTGTTTTGCTAGTAAGGTTACATATGCCAGGACTTGTTTAAGACAAGCACTCAGAGCTCAATAACAATGTAAGCTTTGAGCATGTGCAGGGGCTAAGGTGAAGGGTCTCAGAAAAGGCAAAGGTCCTTCAACTTTTAATGTAGAAGGAAACTTGACTTTGAATTATAGATAGTCTACCTAGGAAGCAAGGGCCTAGAGTTAGCAGGTACATTTAAACTAGTGGTTGGAGACTGGGGCAAGTTATTTCATTTTAAAAGACTACTCCAATTATCTGTGGGGCTGGCAGTGACTTGGTTGTGTTTGAAAAGAGAAAAGGTTTGTGGATAGAATAGCCACTTCCCCTCTCCTTCAGAATGAGCACTCTGGAGAATGATCACATTTTATAGCGAGTTGAGGAAGAAGCTGTGTTGGGTAATCCTGTTTAATTATTGGACTTATTAGGAGGAAGCCTATTGTTTATGTCCAGAAGCCACGGCTTCAATACCAGCTTTAGCAAATAAAGGATAGTACTTTGGCCTCCATATGGCATAACTGTCTTATCAATTGGTTCAGAACATGCCCGCCCTCCAAAATAAAAGGCCTCTCAAACGTCAGTAAAGGAATACGGGTGGTACTGTATAGGAGTGTGTTAACAGTGAGAAACATTTCAAAAATATGGTGATTCAATATGAATTTATAATAAGAACAAAGTATCTCCATGCAGCTAGTGATAAAATATAGCAATCAAGAAGTAAAATTATTATTTATTGTATTCTGTTTGGAAAAATAAAAGAGTAAATAATCTACTGCAGCGAAAACTAATAAATATTAAGATAATTAGAGCTCTGGCACATAAAGTGATACGCCGCAATTACCTGGAGGATCACATTAACAATCCAGTTGTTTTTGTTTGATTTCTGCCCCACTGGTAACAGATAAACAAATTAACATTGACTTAAAACCTCATCTCTTTGCTAGAATGATACAAAAATCTCCTAAGGATCGAAGACAAAGGAGTCTTGACAGTGTTTTGGGGAATGTAGTCAGCAAGTTCAAATCAACCAGCCATTCAAAAGGAGAAAGATGAGGCATTCTACTCTGTTTTCTTTATAGTAGGGTTTTTATAGTCTCAAAATCCCAAGGAGCT